GCTTTTTTTTTTTTAACAATGTAATGAAATGGCGAACCATTGTCTCCATCATTGTCATTTGAGATGGTGTGTAGATCAATGTAATGAGTCCCAATGGCCACATCATTCATGCTTCCCTCATCCAGAACCCGAATCTTCAGTCTTTGACACAGTGGAGGAAACATCTCTTTAAACACCACCTGCTCGTTCCACACTGGGTCTGCTGTGCTCTTCTGAGTAGATGTCCTGCCCTTTCAAGCAGAAAATAAAGAAAGCAAGTATCACATATACTGTATACATTGCTATACAACCACAGTCACTAACCAGTATACCAGAATACTGACCATAACACTAAAATAACATGCTACAAACAAACAAACTGCCAAAAAGCACCGACCGTTCATGCAAGTCGCACAGTGGGGAACCGTCAGGGCCCTCTAGGCCGTCAGAGAGGGCCTAACTTATTGCAAAAACAATATTTACTATTTTTAAATAAATGTTTTAAAATATAGTATTTTAAATAAAAAAATAGTTATTACAAATTTTATTTAAGCAATTCACAACTAGACAAACATAATCTAAATAAAATAAATATAATTTGTCTGAGAAAAACAACAACAACAACTTCTCCAGATCTGCCTATTCAGTGAATGGATTTATGAACACCGGCCATTTTCTCCATATTTGAATGTTTCCGCCTAGCGTCTGCGGCTCTGTGATTGGAGGTCCAGCTGTAGGGCCAAGCAATAGTAAATCAATTGGAGAGTAATTTCGAATGACAGAACAATTGACCAATCATATCTTTTCTCTAAATGGGCGGGCCTTGTTATTACTAACGTTATGACAAGTTCCGCCCGCTGTGGGATCTCAATCGGAAAAAACATATACGCTGATAAAACTAGCTAGCTATTATTCACGTCACGATGGAAGCCGCAAATAACGTAAGTAAGGACATTTACTGGGACACTGTGCCAATGATATTTATTATAAACACTGCTTGTTTGTCTTGAAATGTCTGTCGCTAATTTGCTGAGCGCTGTCATGGTGTATTGTCTTAAACACATTACATTTGTTGGTTTTGTGTGGTAGGAGGGATTGATGTCTGTATATTTTGTGTGATGATGCATTTGTAATGAGGATTTGCATTTGACTTCAATTTAGCTGTTTTATTTTGGTAATATCAGTCACTCTCGCTGTACTGATTTGTTGTTTAGTGTTGTATGACAGTTTAACTTTTTAAACTTGATATGACATCTTAAAAACACGGCACTGTACTGTACGACAATGTGAGACGTAAGCATCATTTATATGTTATATTCTTCCTGTTTATTTTTATTTTTTTTATCTTAACATGCCCTGCTCACAATAAACTTGTATGGCTGGAGGTACGTAATGCAACGAGTCCTCATTTTGTAACTTAGTTTGTTGTAACAACATTAAAAAACGACAAAGTTTGTAACTACATACAGTTTGTAATGACATGAGGGCAGTGTAGGTATTTTTTAAAGGAAAACTATTAAAATAGTTTTATTTATTTATTATCTTTTGTCATTGAAATATTACTTGAAATTGAAATAGTTGGTAATGTTATAATAATTTGGTAATGTTATAATAAAATTAAATATAATTATTAGGTGAAAAACTTAAACTTAAAAAAACGAAAATTAGAAATGCTGGATCAGTTAAAAAAAAACTGAAGGATTATATTACTAAAACTGATACAACTGCATAGACATATTTAAAATAAAACTAATAACAATTACAAAAACATAACAAAACTGCTAAAATCTAAATTAAAATGAAAATACAAAAATAAATACTATATTAGTATATAAATACAGAGTTCCGGCATGAAACTCTAGATGGCGCAGTCCGATAGGTCTAGCTCAATCTGACCTGGCGACATCAGTCACATGACAGCTGATTGGTTCTCTCTTGTATCGGTAGCCAATGAGCTTACTGCTCAATATTCAAATTAGGGCTGGGCGATATAACAAAAAAAATTATCACGATATAATATTTCATATCGTTCGGTATCGATAATTATTGAAAATGTTCTATAACCTTTCTTAAACAGAGAGCGGTAGAAAAAAGGTTTAAATGTAACCATTTTTTTAATTTTAAATTTTCCCAATTTATTAAGACAAACAACAACTTATTTTAGTCTTAACAAACAAAATAACAAATAAAACAAAATAACAAAATAAAATTGAAACAAATATCTCCTTTCTTATATTTTATATGCAGATTAAATAAGTGTTAAGGAAACATTTGGCCTGTCTCCTGAGGCCACAGGAGGGCGCAATGAGCAAAATAATGCACCTCATTAAATGGTTTATTCAATGCAATGAAAATAACGGCTGTCTATAAAAAAGTACATGACATCTAAACTAATATTTATAAATCAAATATGATTTTGTAAATTGCATAAACAATAATGAACAAAACAGCATCATGAATTTATGCAGCTTAATACAAATAGCCAAAACGCCGATCACACGATTGCATTTAAAAACATATGAGACGCAGTGGAATGGAATGTTTTCTAAAAGTTTAACCTCTTTTAACTTTACATGGCTTTCTAGTCAACTCTTGTGCAAGACGCGAGTGCAACAGTCATAGTTGTGCGTCTCAAGAATGCGCCGAATATGCGTTCTGTGTGAATGGCTTGGTTTCAGTTTTAATCTAAACAATATCTTCTCCGCATTGAGCTTCTATAGTTCTCTAATATTTTGAATGGAAAATGCAGCAGCGGCGCATCTTGTGGTTTCAACTGGATATAGACTAACAAAAACATTAAAATGCAACAAAATCATCCTCACCTCATCTCGTGCGCCGCTAATAAGGCTCCCTGACGCACACCTAAAATTCAAATACACAGTTTTTTCATTCGAATGCAAATTTTTATTTTAAATTCGACTAATATTCCTTTTTTTGATTCACAGTCTCCTCATCGCAGACAGGCATGGCACTCATTTCAGCGTGTGCTTGTGTGTTCTGTTGGCGCTCTGCTTGTCACTCATAACACGCGCCTTTAAATGAAAAAAGCGTGAAACTATCGTGCGATATATCGAACATTTTTATTGATGATGGTGTAGCGTCGATAAGTATCGATACCGTTTTATCGTCCAGGCCTAATTCAAATACCTGGCTTTTGTTTGCTGTAGCAGTTTGCAGCGCACTTCAGAAACCCTCCACCTTCCCCAGCTCCACCTGTATAGATCTGCTACGGGATGATTCATGTATGCTACATTGGGGTTATACATATGTGTTATATGTGCAGCAGCAGCATTTCTTACATGCTTACAGCAGCATGTTGTGGATGTATTGGCAGTAGCAAGTCTCGGTACTTGCTCTGCCGCAGCAGCAGCAGCGTAGCAGATCTATTCCGCCAAGACCAAATACATTAACATTGTCATGTACATTACCATGCCAATCCCTCCGAGAGTTGTCATGACAGAACTAATACTGAAATAACATTAATTGAGGCTAAGTAATAATGACAGAATGTTTTCATTTTTGGTTAACTATCCCTTTAAGTGGGTTTGTTTTGTAATAAGCACTGAATTGTGAGCTTACAACTTGACCGAAGAATGACACCTCTACATAAGGATCTATGAGGGCTGTCGTGTCTCCAACAAAGGCTTTGGTCACATTGGCCATAATACTGGAGTTTATTCTGGGAAGACCTTCTGCACGGTACACGATCACGTAAAACCGAGCCCACGGCCGTTCAGGGTTTAAGCCCTCGGGAAGCAGGAGGTGTCTGGAGGAGGACAAATGTTTTCAATATCATTTTCATGAGACACAAAGGAGATGTAGTGGCAGTTTATCAGAAAGGAAAGTCACTGAATTAATCTTTATTGTCTGAATACTAAAGCAACAAAACGTATACTAAATTATAAATGGTTTCTTAGATATCTGCCACCATGGCTGTCCAGAATAACAATCTTAAAATAGTAGATGAGATTTGTATTTTTTTTATTGCATTCAATCTTTAATATGCCATAAAACAAACTGAGATCTTACTTTTCTATCTGTTCTTCGGAATCACTGTACTTCTGGGACGGTGCTGCAACATCTCCCTTTCCTGACACGCTGATATCACACTTCAGGTGACCTTTCACCCCTGTGCGGATGTCAGCGGGGTCTGTGAGTGTGGCCCACTTATTGATGAACTGATGGCCTGGCACAGCAAGACAATATTTAGTGCCGTTTTACAAGTAGAATAACCAATAATCCAAATCTCAGACCAGATTCTGAACTTTCATCTCTCTAGTTAAAGAAAAGATGTGACCAAATGCAAACCAAGTGTTTACCAGGCTGGGAGTAAACTGTCCCAACATCAATCTTGAAGGTTCCCACACAGTAGCTCTTCATGATCTTTGAGTGCATGACCTTTGAGAGAAGTGCACAAAAGTAAGCATTGCAGCTTACATCAAGAAAAGCATTTTGTTTAGCCTAAGTACTTACAGATAGTTTGATGACTTTGTCAAAAAAGATGTCTTGATTGCAAAAGAAGTCAAACACAAGATACTGTTGGGATGAGAAGAACACGGTTATTAAATATTTGCCATTAATGCCATTATCAGAAAGTGTCCATCAAAGACAGCATGATCACCTCATTGTAAAAGGGAGCGTTGGTTCCTTCTTTCACAGACGTCTGCTTTTTCTCATCTCCAATTTCAATCACGACACTAGGGTCTATATTGTCCCCGACTAGTTGCCTAGCCTCTGTTATATTGATGGAGATCTTAGGAAGAACAGATTTTGATTCTCAATATTAAGAATATACGCTTTATCATCTCTAAACAAGAAATAACTGCAACTTTTACTCAATTTATTGAATTCTACCTGGAAATGTTGTGGTTTGCTTTCACCTTCCAAGATCTTGGCCACAGGTTTACACCTTTTAAGTCAGAAAAAGTAAAAACATGAACATGTTGTACATAATCTACAAGAAATAACACATTACACTGTGTAAAGTTTGGAGAGAAAAACAAAAAGTGCCTCTTAGTATTAGCAGTATGTCTGAAGGAAGCGGGTGCAGAGGTGGACGCTTCAGAGGGTCCAGGCTGGGGTACGTTTACCACGTCTGGATCGCCAGGATTAGTTTCAGGCTCAGCCTCTAAAACGTAACGATTAAACCAGCTCAGTCAGAATTGGTTTACAAACATTTTAAACCTTTGTAAGGATCAGCTGCCATATGTCTGAATTTATGGTTTTAAATATCTCTGTCAACAAAACCATGCAGTTAATCCTCATGAAATACTCTACATCTTATGTAACATAGGCCTAGTGTTTGCATTCATGGTCTTACCTAAAGCATTTTTGTTTGCGATTACAACACCCTTGTGTCCTTTCCTGTGTTTCTTCTTCACTTTTATTCCAAACTTTTTGCTGCAGAAACACATTGGAATATCAGACCATTGTAACTCCTCTCAGTAAAGTTTTTTCCTGTTTTTGTCTCTTTCACATAATTTACTTGTAATGAGGAGCCCTAGTAGTTAAAAATTGGGACTAGTGAAGTTTACGTATGAAACCCCAAAAGCCCAATGTTAGCAATGTTAATATTGAGCAAGCCTGTTGGGCTTTTCTATTTATGAAAAGATATAATAAAATATTACAAAAATGTGAGGGGTGTACTCACTTCTGTGAGATACTGTAAAAAAAAAAAAAAACATGTTTTGGATAAAAGCATCTGCTAAATTACTATTTATTAGATATCAACCATTTATGCAATCTGTGCTATTCAGAGAACCAATAAACAAGTAAAACAGCTTTCTGAAGAAAAACTGTTCCCAGGAGAGCTTACCCATGTGGCGCAGTGCTGTCTTTATCTCGGTCCATTCTTGCAGGAGAAATTAATTCAAGAGAAAATATCCTGTGACTGTAACTCACTCCATCAAGCGAGACAGTGAGTGTACTTCCTCCCCAAACGTCTGTTTAACTTTCTGTTGCCGAACGATTGCATTACAAACAAGGGTGGAAGACTGTGGGATGTGTGTTTTTAGTTAACTCAATAGAGGCCATAAACAACATTTAAAATTGCAAAATTAAATGATTATCAATAACACCAAACACTCCACTGCCAAAAATACTGATAGGAATCTTGTGTTGTATTGTTTAATATTGCAACTTTATAGTGCTGCAGTAAATAATAAATTTGAAGTTGGATAGAATTGTGCACGGAGTCTGTCGTTTTTAAGTGTGCACTCAAACATTCCCCCTTATCAGAATGAAAGTATGACTGAGGCCATAAAACGATATTTGACACATGGCATTCGAGCTTCTCCATCTGGACTTTGGTGGTACCACTTTACAATAAGCTTCTACACATTAATTAATGTGTATCATGAGGTAAACTTAATTTTGCAGCATTTATTAATCTCGGTTAATGTATAAACATACTATTGTGCATATATTATAGTCGCTTAATGTAAAACGTATTAGTACAAATAGAAATTAACAAAGATTAACGCTGTGAAAGTGTTTTATTAGTAGGGCTGCACAATTAATCGAATTTCTAATTGCGATTACAATTATGGATGCCACAATTACGGAATCATTCAAAGCGGCAATTAATCGTTCAAAGTCCACTTATGTTGTTCTGTGTGCTTAAGATGCTTTTTTTTTTTCTTTCTACATGTTATCTTAAGGGTTTTTCCATTGTTTTAATTTTAGTTTTAGTATAACATTATAATACCATTCATATTTTTACTTTTTTTTTATAATTTAAAGAAGAAACCAATCCGATGTATATTTGACATTTGAGGCTTAATACTATAGAAAAGCACTAAAGGTTTTTCAGTTAGTGTTTTCAGCTTGTTTATTTTCATATAAAAATACGGCATGCAGTTGCATCAAACAATGGTATAAACATCATTCAATGTAAATTGTGATAATCGTAATTACAATTTCAAGGGAATAAACGACAATTATGATTTTTGTCATAATCATGCAGCCCTATTTATTAGTAGCTTGCATGTATGCAGTGCTGGGAAGGTTACTTTGGAAATGTAATAGGTTTCAGATTATAAGTTACCCTATTAATGCAATGTAACTGATTACATTTGATTACTTTTGTAAATTTCTAATGTTTTCAACTGTTAATCATTTTCAAACATTTAAAGCAGGCAGGGTTAACTTTACAGTAGTACTCAACACTGATTACTGTCAGACTTTCAAAAGCCTTAATCACAAAATCAGACTTTAGCACCTCTTTTTACTTGAGGCTAAATACAGATTTAAAATCATAAGAAATAGTTTAAAATCAAATTTGAAATCAAATCTTTGCATAGCTATGACAGGAAACACTTGCATCTAACAATGCCTTGGAAAAAAAGTCAATCTCAAAAAAAATAAAGCATATACATAAACCCAAATAGGAAATCAAATAAGCACGTGTCCTAAACTCCTGAAACATTGGTGTCTCATATTTTAGAGCAGTCAATGCAATTTGGGAAAGAAATCAATCAAATCTGTATGTTTGTGAAAATATTCAGATGTAATCCCCTTTGTAATCGTTAACATTTTCAGAAGTAACTAATTTAATTACACATTTTTTCATTTTATTTTTTGATTTGTTACATTTGTTTTGTAATTAAATTACGTAACTGTTACATGTAACCAGTTACTCCCCAACACTGCCTTTGATTGCTGTTAGTTCATGTTAACTTTTGCCTTGGGTAATGTTAACTTGTGCAGGCTTTTCATAAAGTGTTTAGTTTAATTTTATTTGAACGGCATTAACTTGTTCACAGTGTCTTAAGACATTAGTCATTGACATACAGTAGTTTTGTGAATTAAGTGCTTCAAAACATTAGTCAGTGTTTGAGATATTTAATGTCAAATGTGCTAGCTACATACTGAAGTGTTCAAACTGGTCTGAAGCGCAAATGATGCAAATTAGGTTGTTAAACTCCTACTTAGAAAGTTATAAGTACTTAGCATGACACTGTTTGCTAACAGTGAAAAGCAGGATGTACAAGGATACACCTCTGGTAAATATATGCACCAACAACTCAAACATTGAACTCTGTATTTGCCATCGCCAGGCTGAATTATTTATTTTGTTGTAGTGAAACATTGTAAAAATTTAATTTTACAAATAATATTTAAAAAATGCTTATTATATTTATAGAAGACTTTGATGTAATTCAGAACCATAGTTTGATGCTTATAATATTGTAAGTTTTATTCTGTAAAGCAGTTTTTCACCCAGACTTTTTCTTTACCAAAATAATAACACAGTACAATCATTGAATTAAACATGTTGTATGTGGTAGGAAAAAAAGAACATTTATGCAATATAACATTGTAAATCTACTGTGAGTATGAAAAATCTGTAGGAACACTTCAGTGAATTATATGACTAAATAAATAACATGATTATCGGTTTATTTACAATGAAAGGATCAGGGGTCAAGAAGTTTTATAACAAAAATGTTATTAAAAAAGGAGATTTTTGCCTGGAGGGTTACCATTATTACATACTATGTGACAAAATATCTGTAGTTTGATCTGACATAGAACTATCACAATTCAAATGACTATGTGCTAATTCTTTAATAAATTATACAAATATACAAGTTAAATGGCAAAATAAGATTAGACATGTTTAAAGTGATACATAAAATCCCAAAGTGCCAGCAACATTAAAAATATTTACACGTTCTGTCTTCAAACGTTCTGTCATCTTCATGGTTGGCTCATGGTTTGCTTTAGAGGGCTGAATTCAAAGACAAAAAAGTGAAAAATTGATGCAGCAGGCTAGTCTATTTTGCTGAAATTTCATTGCAGCAACTCAAAATGGTTCTCAGTAGTTTGTATGGCCCCCACATGCTTGTATGCATGCCTGACAACGTTGGGGCATGCTCCTAATGAGACGACCGATGGTGTCCTGGGGTATTTCCTCCCAGATCTGGACCAGGGCATCACTGAGCTCCTAGACAGTCTGAGGTGCAACCTGGCGGCATCAGATGGACCGAAACATAAAGTCCCAGAGGTGTTCTATTGGATTTAGGTCAGGCGAGCGTGGGGGCCATTCAATGGTATCAATTCCTTCATCCTCCAGGAACTGCCTGCATACTCTCGCCACATGAGGCCAGGCATTGTTGTGCACCAGGAGGAACTCAGGACCCTCTGCACCAGCGTAGGGTCTGACAATGGGTCCAAGGATTTCATCCCGATACCTAATGTGTCCCTACATGGATATGCCTCCCCACACCATCACTGACCCACCACCAAACCGGTCGTGCGGAACGATGTTACAGGCAGCATAACGTTCTCCACGGCTTCTCCAGACCCTTTCACGTCTGTCACATGTGCTCAGGGTGAACCTGCTCTCATCTGTGAAAAGCACAGGGCGCTAGTGGTGGACCTGCCAGTTCTGGTGTTCAATGGCAAATGCCAATCAAGCTCCACGGTGCCAGGCAGTGAGCACAGGGCCCACTAGAGGAGGTCGGGCCCTCAGACCACCCTCATGAAGTCTGTTTCTGATTGTTTGGTCAGAGACATTCACACCAGTGGCTTGCTGGAGGTCATTTTTTTAGGGCTCTGGCAGTGCTCATCCTGTTCCTCCTTGCACAAAGGAGCAGACACCAGTCCTGCTGATGGGTTAAGGACCTTCTACGGCCCTGTCCAGCTTTCCCAGAGTAACTGCCTGTGTCCTGGAAACTCCTCCATGCTCTCGAGACAAAGCAAACCTTCTGGCAATGGCACGTATTGATGTGCCATCCTGGAGGAGTTGGACTGCCTGTGCAACCTCTGTAGGGTCCAGGTATTGCCTCGTGTTACCAGTAGTGACACTGACCCTAGCCAAATGCAAAACTAGTGAAAACCAAAACAATTTTTTTGAGCAGTGTGTATCAGCTCCAATGAGGCAACCACCTCAATGTAGAATAAAGGTGCAGATACATCACCAAAATCTTATGGCGAAAAAGGTCTATTGTCAATAGTGTAATGAATATTTCCCAGTCAAGTGGATTCCTATTAAAATGACTGGACTTTTGCCCATAAAAGGTTGTAGAATAATAGTAAATGTGACTACATTTTAAGACAGCTTTTTGCCGTCTCACTGAAGTGATGTTCATCATTTTAAACAGTAGCTTAACCTTTTTTTTTTTTGCACTTTTCCTGAGAGGACAGTGGAGATCTGACAGGAAGCAAGCAGGAAAGAGGGGAACGGGATCGGGAAAGGTCCACGCCATCAGCGCCAACAGTAGTTTAACTTTTTTAATGAATTAAAATGACTGAGTGCACTGTTATTGAATGGTGATATCAAAAGTACAACATAAAAGCTCTTACAAAGATGTGTAAGAACTTGAGGATGCGTTTATGGGTGAGTATGTGGAGGACGTTCCCTGATTCTGGATCTATGACGGGTAGCCGGTGAATCTTGTTCTTCAGTAAGGAATAAATGGCTTCGAAGAGGCTGCCAACAGGAAACACAACTCTCTGTCACTGGAAAGATAAAAGAAAAAGAAAGGACAAACAAAGTGCTGTAGAGGTCCTGCTTTACCTGGAGTCAGGTGTGATGCTGATCAGGGAGTTGAGAGAATACTGTAGATAGGCCTCTGAAAGAGGGAACAAATACAGCTACTACTTTAAAACATTACCATGTGTGTGGAATTACATATTTATCCTCAAAACTATACACAATCACCTCTCCATGTTTCAATCTTGTGTTCCTCCAGCTCATAGATCTGAACCTAAAACAGAGAATGTACATGATCTTTGTTTACATCTGATATATAATTCTGGATACACTACCATTCAAATGTTTGTGGTTGGTAAGATTTTTTAAAATGCTCTTATGCTCACCAAGGCTGAATTATTTAATCAAATATACAGTATGACATTGTCACATGATCCTTCAGAAATCATTCTAATATGATGATTTGCTGCTCAAGAAACATTTCCTATTATTACCAATGTTATAAAACAGTTGAAAACCATGATACATTGTGAAAACCATGATACATTTTTCAGGATTACCATGGGGGATCTGTAGTAACGATGGAGAATGTTGATAAAGTCTGTAATGGTGAGCATCCCTGCAAAAACAGAACACTTTAAATTGAATTCAACTTTAAATTTAGATTCAGCAATTAATTCATACAATCTGATCTGAAACGGACTTGACAGTACTGCATGTAAATAAAGTTACGAAGCATTATAGTTTGAAATTAAAGTATCAAGAGGCCTACATTAGCACAAACATACTACCTCTCACTATGCACTGAAACAGGAACACACTCCTGCGCCCGAGCTTCCTTTCAGTAGGAGGATATGCTTTCTCATTAGCATGGCTATTATTACTCCCAGAGAAGGTTCAGGGGATTAGAGCTCTACCCTGCCATTTCCCACCAGATACCACGGCCCAGAAGCCACACTAAACTTAGAAGCTGGCACTGATGGAGGGGACAGGTGTCTGTAACAGTCCCAGACACTGACACTGCTACAAATCAAAGCTGTGTCAGCGGACACACGTACAGTATGTATACATGGTGCATCCTCACTTGTATGTTACCGTTCAAAGGTTTGGGGTCAGTAACATCTTTAAATGTTTTAAAAGGCTTGTTCACCAAGGCTGCATTTATCTGATCACAAATACAGTAAAAATTATTACAATTTGAAATAACTATTTTCTTTTAATACATATTTTAATATTTATTTTTTTCCCGTGAGGGCAAGAATAGCTGAATTGTCAGCAGTCATTACTCCAGTCTTCACTGTTACATGCGCCATTGCTCCTTCAGAAATCAGTTGAATATGCTGATTTGCTGATCAATAAACATTTCTCATAATCCATGCTGAACAGTTGTGATGCTTAATATTTTTCATGGAAACTGATACATTTGTTAAGTATTATTTGATGAATAGAAAGTTGAAAAGAACAGCATCTATTTAAAATAGAAATCTTTTGTAACATAATAAAAGTTCTTTACTGACAATTTGATCATCCTTGGTGAATAAAAGTATTAATTAAAAAAAAAAAAAGTATTTATTTTTTAAAATCTTACTGACCCCAAACTTTTGGGCTGAAAACTCTTTTGCTATTTTGTGGAAACAGTGATATATATACACACACACACACACACATATATATATATATATATATATATATATAGGATTTGATGAATAGAAAGCAGCAAAACATCAGTCGAGAGCAGTTTGTGGTATTTATAAATAACTTAGATTCCAAAAATCCCTCTGGGAGCAGAAATTTTTATATCAAATGTAATACATTACGTTTTTACATTAAGTTTCAAACATTAAATACATTAAGTTTTTTTCTAACCCGTATCAAAACTCAAAATGGATGGCACACTTGGTTATGGTTTGCATGTGCTAAGCGTTTTAGCATATGTGAATCATGCTTGCTTTTCCTAATATGGGTTTATGGGTGAAGATGTTGTAGTGACATTATAAGATTTCAGTAATCTGATACAGGCTCACAGCTGAGCAACCACACTTCAACAGACTCGGCAGATCCCCAACGTTTGCTTACCTACAAAACATTGCAGCTTGTTATCCCATAAAGGTGCCGCTCTGACCCCGTTTGCAACCAGTGCAAAGAATGCTTTTTTCACCTGTACACATCACTCATATATTTCAGTGTTTGTATTGAACGTCTTAAATAAGGATATTTTTAATTTAAGTCAGTCTACTAAAACACTGTAGTAAGCACATAAGCACACCTGCAGTGTTGTGTCAAAGATGACCAGTTTGGAGCTCGTTGGAATGGCATCGTAGCAGCAGTGACTCATGAAGAACTTGGCATACACGTCTGAGTCAGGGTCCCGGAGAGGCTCTGGAGAGGGACACAGAGGGAGACCCCTGCTGCAGGTCGGTCAGTCTGCAGCTGTGCTACACTCATATAATCGTATGTATCACAACTGCAGTCCAACTCGACCTTTTTGCAGTTTCATTTAATTTTTCATCAAATTATTCACACTTATTATGGCACAAAAAAGGTAAATCAGGTCTAAAAGTCCCTGGTAAGTTCTCTCGCTCTCTCTCTACAGAACACTAATGAAGCAACCTAATTTGTGAGAAAAGAAATGGTAAAAGAAATTCCTTACACTTGGGGCCTTATACTTCACACTTTGGATTCTCAGAAGTTGTCATAGTCGGGAAAATTTCTATTGTAGTGAACAGGAACTACAATGAATATATTTGTTTGTTTTCCCATTTGCTCCAACATCGACGGAAATATATATATTTATATATACACAAATAAATAAAATTGCTAGATTTATGATGTTAATAACTGTGGAAATGCATCATTACGACCTCTGAAAATGGTCCAAAATTTGTAAATGATATATTTCTGATATAGCAAGATCATTTTATGAGAAGTACTGATTCTTTTACCCACAAAACTCCTTTCACTTTTTTTTTTTAGCTTCCTGTCACTAAAAACAATTATTTATTAATCACCTTTAATAATCAATCTAATCATTAATGGAAATTATAAACAAAGTCTTCTAGTATTTTATAGTTTCAGAAATTTTGCATTAGATACACACAAAATGATTATCAAATTGACAAAACAATAAATATACAATTAAATAATTTAGCACTTGAAAGCAGAATTTCAGATACTACAGCTAAGAAATGTTCATGTTCATGTTTACATTAAGAAATGCACAGGGTGTACAAAAGATACTGATAGATACCTGTCCTCTTCATGGTCAGCCCCTCATCCTCCATAAAGGGGAACTACAAACAGAGCAGAGAATAAATGGTCTTTACTAAAAGGTAATACGCTCAAAAAAAGCAGTCAAAAGAAGTAATGAAGACATAGCATCATCTTATAGCTTACCTGTTCAGAAATATAAAGAGAAACCTTAAGCAACAGGTTGCTGAGTATTTGTTCACCCAGATATTTTTTTGTTTTGGTAACTGCCTCAAACCTAACTAACTGAACAGTTACTGATTATACAGCAGTTATTTCCGGTCGTTAAATTTATTAACCGATTAAAACAGTCCAACAGTTTCACTGTTTGTATCACTCCACTTGTCTGTGTTTGTCCAGCAGAAGTTATGCTGATTTTTCAGTTACTCTTTCTGCATGTTACACCATTGCGCCAGTAGATGGCGACACGTGTCTTTAAAAGTGAGTCATTGAATCACTCATTTAACCGATTAGTTCAAAAACATTGATTCATTCAGGAGTACCATTCTGCTGTGGCTTCACTTGAAACCTTGTTTATTGGAAGAGAGAAAAAAAGATAAAGTAACTTGAAATATTACCTACAATCATGCTGTTGGTCTGAATTATTATTGCTTAATTGTAGCACTGTCCTTCATTTTCTATCTAGAACTCAAATCCTGCCACAGAACCCTGTAAACGAGACAGGCACATTATTTTTTACAGTATGACTAGAGAGATAAATTTTGTTACATATAACATTCCTCACATACTAACCACAAATGATTAGATATAATTGAACCCAAATTAATTAACGTACAGACTCAATACAGTTGCTCAGATTCTGTATATTATTTACACTGAACCAAAGCCTAAAACCTTAACTTACCTAAAACTTGAACACTAGTCTTTTGCTACCTTGCAATCACTGGCATTTCAGGAAATGCACATCTAGTTAATTATTATTAGAAATAATGATGTTTTTTTCGGCTACATATCTCTACCTCACAATGAACTTGATTTCCACAGAGGCCTTGTCTCCATGCACTGTTCAGATCTCCAAAAATAACCTCAAACATAAACACAATGTATAACGAGTTATTCATGTTATCTGTTGAATCCACTAATTGTGGATTATCAACACTGAAACAAGCCCGGGGGTGCAGTTTGCTTATTGACATTAGTTCTTTAAACTACAGTAAACATATCAAGTTGACATGACAACATTTTCATAAGCAGTAGACACTAAACTGTTCCTGGAATATGATTCCCTTCATCTGAAGCGTATGCGAGAACTTGTACAGGTTGCTCTCTGGGTCTTACCTCCGTCAGAGGGTCCATGTTCAGGGGTCCCACTGTGAGACAAACGCATTCAGTGCTTGAGCTGGCCTGACTGGAGCATATTTCAGCTGTGCTCTCGTCCCTGTGTGCAGAGCACGATCTAAATCAGGAGAGAAAGCCGGCCCAGGCACGCAGAGGGCTGGACGTGGGACGGGGGGAGGAGAATCACAGATGTTGTGGCTGTGACTGGCTGTGTACACAACACCCCTGTAAGAGACCTGGATGGTACGAACACGGCACAGCATAATCAGGACCTCAATCTTGATCTATTACAAAATTACACAGGAATTTAAGACATTTATGACTTTAATTATTAATTCATGTTTAATGTAAGACCAGTCAGCTGAAAAGCATACTGCTGACATTAAAAACCACTGCAAAACCATGACCTGCAAGATGATGATAAAAATATCTTGTCAAGTCTAAAAAAGACTTGTCTATTTTTGTCTCCTGTTACCTGATGATTACAGTTTGGACCTCTTGTTATCATTTCACTGTCTGAGACTGGATTAGGCCACAAAGTGGGTTTAATTGTCACTGGATACATGTGTTGGCAGTAAAAAGTAGAATAAAGTTATAAAATAATTTTAATTAAAGTTACATTATGTAACTTTTGGCCCTCTAGTAGTTAAAAAAAAAAAAGCATGCATCTTGCGGTTGTGGAAGAACATTGTGTGGGTTGTGCATCGGCTGTGCTTCTCTGCGCAGATGAATGTTTCGTAACACGCGGAAATAAAGAAAAAATAGATATGATTTGCATGTGAGCAATCATTTCTGTTGTATCGAGTTATTGGAATGTTTTTAAATAAACAACTTAAAAGTTTGCATTGCAATTTGTTAACATTAGACAAAGATTTCTAGTCACATGTAGTGTGAAATGTAGATTTTTATTATCGACTCTGTACACAGATGCTTTTTTTTTTTTTAACGGTGACTCCCAAAGTTTTGACATTTTGCATGGTACATGGTCAAATTTATTCGCTTGTTACCTGTGACAACAAACTTACAGCTTCACGTGACTTCCACACCATACACACGGGTGGAAAGTTATCGGATATACGGCTATAAAATATAAATCATTATTGTAGGTTTATCAAAGTGTAGCGGAATAATGTAAACACATAGTTTGGAATTTTTTTTTTGTTTTTACATTAACCCTAACATTAAAAAAACTACATAGTGAAGCTTCAATATAAATATCAATTAAAAAAAAGGGGGGGGGGGGACTTTTT